ACAATACATAACTCGTAGTAGCTTAAACTAGCCTAACGTTACATCAATACATAGAGTTAGACCCAAACCAAATTATGTAACCAAATGACAACCAAAAATACTTTAGTTTAAAGACAACAAAAGTGTCACATTACTCAACTGCTTCAACAATATTTAAGACTTCATACGAAGCCTAAGCGTCATTTTAAAGTTATGGGACCCTGTTATGGTCTTATCTGTCTTTTTGACTCTTCTGATGCGTTATGCCTATGGAATTTAGCAACTAAAGAAATCAAAGATATTCCAGAACCCCTCATTCCTCACGATGTTGAATGCCTCGATAGTGCTTTATTCGGGTTTGGTTTTGAACGGAAAACTAGAGATTATAAGGTGGTCAAATTGCTTAAGAAAGATTGTGAAGATCAAAACAATGACTATCATAATTACGTATATACCTTGAGCTCAAATTCTTGGAGAAAACTCGATGTTGTTTTGCCAGCTCATCTTCATATCTATATTTATTTTTATGGTAATTTGGCCTACAATGGTGGAACTTATTATTGGTGGGCAGAGACAGTTATTATTTGTTTTGACATGAGCAACGAGCAATTTGGGGTGATTGACTTGCCTAAAATAGTTTTTCCACTTGTTGAGAGAACGATTAAAAGAAGTAGCATTTTCACAGAATATAATGGAACGTTGGCGGTGATTTATTGGTTAGTGAATGAAAAATATGAAACGTGGTTTGAACTATGGAAAATGAATGGACATGGCATGACAGTTACATGGGCAAAGCAACTTTCTGTTGGATGGTTAGAAGTATGGTTGATGCCAATAGGGACTTTTAAGAATAATAGGATTATTTTTACAAATAAGGATGAAGAGGATACAATAATCGCTTATGACCAAGAAACAAGAAGCTTACAAATTCCTATTCCAGTTGATTCTGAGACAAAGATTCACTATTCCACAATGGAAACAACTGCTTTATTTTACATTGAAAGCTTAGTTTCCATGGGGGATGGATAAAAAAGAATTCTTGAATGCTCCAGATTCCCAAGTTAGTCTGATTTTTGTCCTTTCAATAGTGTTGGATAATCATTACATTAGCTCCTTTTCCATGGATAAATATTTTGGATAAAGATTTTCGTTACAATTTCATAAGTATCGAGTTTGTTTCATTGTAACAAATGCTGTTCTTTAGAAATTTATTCTAGCGCAAAAAAAGGCCAATTCCATTCTAATTGACTTTCACTCACTAATTTTGGCATCTTTTTACTATATTCTTAATCAGGGGTGTATAAGTTTACCAATGACGCAATACATGTTTCCTTACATATTTATTGATATATTCTCTTTTATCAGTATTCCAAAAAGAATAATGCTACTTATACATAACGGTTTACATATAGACGAGGTGTCAAAAACAGAGTAGGGAAGTTTTTTTTTTTTTTTTTGGTTGAAGAAATTTTGACACAACCATATCTTACCATATCGTGTACATGTAAATCATTATATTAATTATATATGTACATGTAGCACAATCGTTTTAAAATTTTAAAAATTTAATGGGAGGAAAAGAAATTAATGAATTTACTTCTTCCATTATTGGCGTAAGATAGAAGGATGCTATTTGTGAATTATATTGAGCAACGATAACTAGTCTATATTTTGCTGAATTCATTTTAATCTCAAATAAAAAACGTTATGTTTCTCTATACTCATTTTCTTCCATTAGTCTCTTCTATTTCGATGTTGAGGACGAATGTCATACAATATACCTTCTGATCATGAATCTAAATTTCAAATTTTCCAATTAAAACCGTGGAATGCTATATAAAGAACTCTATTGCACTTGTGCTCATGCATCACATGCTTTCTAGTTCAACAACATAGATCCTATGGACACATGCAAGATTTAAGAAGGTGTTTGCAAGAGAAGTTTAACCTTGTTTCCGCTTGAATGCACTGGTTTACCGCTCGTTCCATCAGGAATGAGCTGTGGAGTGCTATCTATATAGAACTCTTTTTTGGTACTATCTATATTGGATTTCTCTTGTAGTTTCAAACATATTTCAATATGTTGATAGTGCTCATTCTCAAATTCGTATGATTATTTTTTTTAGTAAAATTCAGTTTAGTGAAAAATGCCACATAAAAATTATAATTTTTTGCCCGATAAAATATTTGGTCATTGATTTATCCTCCATGGATTTGTTGCTCAGTCCATATGCTCCACGTGTGCTATGAATTCCTTTCATTCAAGATATACTGGAGATTACTTCGGTCTCACCTCAAACTATCCTCCCCCACTGTCCAGTGACACGACCCATCCCAAATCGCCCTAGCAGATTGGAAACGTGACGTGAGCGGTGCGCCAATGGTAGATGCCAACTACACGCCGACCTACCTGTAGTGCCCAGAGCCCTAGCACCCGTGACACTACTAAAACCTTGAAATAGAATAATCATAAATATATTGTTGATAAAAACACGAAAATTGACTTGGACCAAAAGCTCTAAGACTTTAGGTACCAGTTGCAAAACTGAAGAACAATTATTTTTGTAAAACTGGGATCTTTACCTTTGGACACATTTCTGGAAAAAAAATCCATTTGGTAAACAAATGAAGTCAAAAATTCGTAAAATTTGTACTGTAAGCATATTACACTTTGTAGAATAATTTATTAAAATTTCGTACAAAAATTCAATCGATAGATGGGTCAAATTGGTTTATAAAGTCAGACATATTTGTTCTCGGGTGCCTTCTGGCTGCCCTCAGGAAAACATCAATAACTTGAGTTTTAGATGTTCATAATCCGTGATTCCAAATCCGAGAGATAGATAGCCCATATGTCTACCTTCTTCAACTTGAATTGAATTAAAATTCCAAGCATTTTGGTCGGGGTGAATTTTTAAATGTAGGGGCAGAAACTGAAAATCTGTAAACACTAGCTTTGCAAGCTCAAAACAACTAGATGGACCAAAATAAAGTATCCTATCCACATTGAACAAATTTCCATCAAATAAATCAGTATTTAAACCTTGAAAACCGCTAAATTTAAATATTTGTTCGAACATGACATGACTTAAGCAATAAATTTGGGGTTCACGTCAAGGCACCACTGCTTTCCTCCTTCGTCGCCATCGACCGCATTAATCTGAAATTGTTAGGTGGACGTTGACTAATTTATAAAAATACTCAATAGACTCATAAGCACGTCACAATGAAATATATCATTATTTAAACAATATACTCATAATTTAAACTTTTAGAGAATAAGCGTATTGACGATAAGGCAACATACCAATATTTGTTGCACTATTGCGCCACAACTTCATATTTCAACCCCATAAGGAGTCACATATAACAAATAATCACATGTATGAGTCTACCTCTTCTAAAACAAATCTTAGGGGGTGTATTCACTTGAGACTTTTAATAAATTTTGAGATTTAATAAAAAGTTTATGGGTATTAAATGTAGACTTTTGAAAACTCTCTAAAAGTATTAGAGAAATCAATTGAGATTTTTATAGACTTTTAAAAAGTCTCTAAAAATCGTGGTGTATTCAAATAAAACTTTTAGAAGTCTCTATAAGGTATTCAAATTTTACTGACTTTTAGAGACTTTTATAAGAGTCTCCAAGTTACTAACTTTTAAGTAGAAAGTACTAAAATAATATTTATTGTTTATTTCTATCTCGCTCTAATGAATGTCGAAAGCCAAAGAAAAATGCACAAACAAGTGTGGTTGAAAAAGACACAATTTCTGAAGGGATACAAGAGATGAATCTTTCAGCAATTGTTTATGAATGTAACAACGTTGGAAATTCAAGAGAATAATGGGTTGACACTGGTACTACCAATCACATTTGTTCAAACAAGACTATGTTTTCTAACTACAAAGATTAAGTGGAGAACGTTCTTTTATGGGAAATTCTACAAGTTCTAAAGTTGAAGGACAAGGGAAAGTTACTTTGAAAATGACATCCGGTAAAGAACTCGTCCTCAACAATGTCCTACATGTACCGGACATTTGCAAGAATCTTGTACTCGGGTCTCTACTCAACAAAAATGGCTTTTAAACTTGTATTTATATCCGATAAATTTGTACTCACTACGAATGAGATGTATGTTGGTAAAAGATACTTATGTGATGCAATGTTCAAAATGAACGTTCTTACAATTGTGCCGAAACAAAGCATTATGAATAAAACTTTGAATTCTACTTATATGTTTGAGTTGTCTTGTTTATGGCATAGTTGATTAGCATACGTCAATGACAAATCGATGTGCAAACTTATGAATCAAAGTGTAATTCCGACGCTTAAGATTAATCATAATCATAAGGATGAAGTATGTGTTGAAGTAAAGTTGGCCAAAACAACATTTCACTCAATTCAAAGGAACACGACACCTTTAAAGTTAATACATAGCGATATAGGTGACTTGAAATTTGCTCAAACTAAAGATGGTAAGAACTACATTATAACATTCATTGGTGATCGTACAAAGTATTGTTATGTCTTTCTACTATGAAGTAAATAAAGAAGAAGACTTAGATATCTTTAAACAATATAAGACGAAAGTTGAAAATCAACTTGGTAAATGAATAAGAAGTATTCGTAGTGATAGAAGTCGTGAATACGGGGCACCATTTGAAAAATATTATTCCGAGCATGGAATCATTTATCAAACAACAGCACCTTACTCACCTCAATCAAATGGTGTTATTGAACGTAAAAATCGAACTCTTAAAAAGATGATGAACTCAATGTTGATAAATTCGGGTCTACCTCAAAACTCGTGAGGGGATGCTATTCTATCGTCAAATAGCATTCTTAACAATATATCCCTCAAGAAAATGGAAGAAACTCGATATGAACCATGAAAAAGTCATCCTCCAACAACAACGAGCCGGGACAGCTTGCGAGTCGAAACTCGAAGCTCGGGCTTAGCTCGAACAAAATGGTCTTGGCTCGGGCCTTATCAAGCTGAGCCAACTCATTGATTTTTTTTATTTATTTTTATTTTTAAAAAAATGAGGCAATCACACAGCTACCCTTTTAAAAAAAAAAAAAAAAGTAGCCACGCAAATGCCTGCTGCCTGTACACGTAGCTACCAAAGCTCTATTTTTTTAAAACATTTGCTCACGGGCTCTATTCGACGCTCCAAAATGGGGCTCGGTGTTGCACCCAAGTGTACGGGTTCGTTGTATAAGTAATAATTATGATGAGTGAGTTATCGTTCCATAGGGAAAAATGCTCAATTTTAGTGTATCCGATATATCTAAATTCGCAACAATAATAAAAGATGGTTGATTTGTATTTAACTACGTTCTATAACTACGAAGCAATAAAAGAAAGAAAGTGTTTTTTAAATCAAATATGGATGAATGTATTGGATTTCCGATTTCACTAATTGATTCTAGAATTCAATTCTCAACTTGTGATAACTAATTCAATCTTTGCAGTAGTGACGATCTATAATTCCACTATTACTTACTATTCTCATCCAAGATATAATAAACTTATGTTGGCCACGACATGATCATTTTCCTAGTCCGCATTCATATGACAAACATGCATTGAAATTTAGGATTATCACACATGATCGTACACTTCATAAATATTATCCCTAATATTTATTCTTCATGTGTTCTATAAATAGTGTTCTACTTATCGTGAGTTTTTCAACACTACGAATAAACAACTTATTGCCCTAATGGTGCGCAAACATTAAAATAATATGAAAAAGCATGTAGATAGAATCACAACCCAAGAATTAAACTAAAAATAACAAGTCTTGAATTAAAAACTAAAAATCAAAGAGTTTCATCATTCATCCAATACAATTGAACGTAGCCTAACATATTAATATGAAAATTAAACAGAAAATAAAAGGAAATCATCACCCGAATCATGTAAATATGAAGAAAATCTAGAAATCTTCACTTCACGCTTTCGAAATCGGATCCAAATGGTGAATTCCTCCTT